CATCGGATCATGATTTTAACTTAGCTAGACGATGGATATGGGGTTTGGTTCTGAAATCTCTCGCTGATCTGTGGTTCAGCGGGGTAACAGGATTTTGTTAGGACGAGTACTTTGCTGTAACTGATTTAGTGCAAAGGAAAATTCCTCAGCCCGATTATCATCAAAAGGCATGATCGTTTCATACGGCTGGATTATCAGAGAAAATCCGCACGGGAGATGTTGATGTTTGCTTTAGCTTCTCACATCTCGCCGGATGCGTCTGATCACCGGCTATAAGCCCGTTAACACCCAAACCCTCAGGCTCCTGCACTGCTTCATTATTTACTCATTTAAAGTTTGTGCTTTTTGTTTTGGCTTCATATTGTCTGCAGCAGAGTTTATGTTTCAGAGGTCCCTTCAGATTTTGGGCTGGATGACTTGGTCATACTGTATAGCTGCAACTTCAACTTTAAGAAATAAAGCAGTCCTTGTTTGAGAGGTCTGCGCAGATGTGTTGCCAGACGTGGAACATTTAATTAGGTCAGTAAAGGAATTTTAAATGAATGCATAAGGAGGAAGCCACGTTCAACTCTGCGGAAAATCTCTACATGGTCGCTACGTTTTCTGTTAAAGGATTAGTTCATCCAAAAATGAAAATTTTCATCATTTACTCAATTTCACGTTGTTTCAAAACCATTCGACTTGCGTTCATCCGTAGAAGACAAAACAAGATGTTCTCAGCATGCTGCCCTTTTAATCAGGGGTTGTCAAATAGCTCCTTAAAAGTAGACGAGATAAGATGGTGTTTTGCTTGAGAAAACACAGTGAGAAAGACACTGCATCAAATGCATCAACTTAATTATAGGTATACCTCATGCTGAATATCAGGATTTAAATGCATGTCCTATGGCTGGTAGAGTGTGTACCTTACTTTCACTGTGACTTTCAGATGTGACTGTGTGCTAAGTGGATGAAAATGAAGGTTTGGCTGTAAGTGGCAGTCTGCTTGCTCTTCTCTTTAGCAAGCAGTAAAACAGATGGCAACTCAGGATAAATCAGCACCCAGCTGGGGTGTGTGTGTGTGTGTGTGTGTGTGTGTGTGGATGGATAGATGTATGGTTAGGTAGATAGGATAAAATAAAGAGTAGAATTTTATCTCATTGCATTACATTGCTTTGTTAGTGGTATCATCAGTAGTAATCTTCAATAATAATAATGACTGGCTAACTGTGTTTTTGTCGGTTGTGTATTTCCTCCACTACAATCCAGTAGTTTAATTCCATTCACTTCCCAATTATTTTGCACATATTTCAGTTTCATTAGTCACTCCTTTTCTTAGAAACCATTTAAAGTTCCCCTGTAGTCAAAAATTGTTTTATCCCAAAATGACACATTTAAACGTTTTTTTCTTGAACTCTTCATGCCTTAAAGCAGCTTGACCGTAACTACACCCTTGCCTCAATTAGTATATGCGGTTCTATGAATATGCATATCCCCGTCTCCTCACTCGGCTCACACGTTGGCCTGATTGGTTACAAAGTAGTGTGTCGTCATTTTTGAGACTGTCTTTGGTTCGGAGTTTTAAGGAGAAAATACTCAGCAGTGGTTGAATTGTCTTAAAACACATTAAAACACCACATAGACATATAAACAACATTAAAATCTTGATTTTCACCACAGAGGGACTTTAAATATTTTGATCTCGGAAATACTTGGTGGTTCTCAAATGGTTTTACAATGGACGTCACGGGGTGACCATGAATTGCATATTATAGTGAACTGCACAGTGTGCAGAATTGCATGACATAGGCTGAATAGGAAAATTACTATTTTGTAAATGCATAAGCTTGTGTAGAAGTGTGATTTACTGGACACACACTGGGACAAAAATTGCAGTAGTATTAGCCATATTGCCTAGTGAACAAAATACAATGGTGTTTGATTAGATGCATAACTGAAGGTGTTTCTCCCAAATGCTTATTTATATTGCTTTCCAACTGTGTATGTGTATATATGTGGTTAGTTGCATAATTTTCAGTTCCCCTAATGTCCACCACCATACCTGTAAAAGTGCTGTTCCTAATTTGGTTTTGGAGGTCTTCTATAGCTTTAGGTGCATCTGATGCCAAAAACACTTGAATTTTCCTCATATTATACATTGAGCAGGACCTGTTTTCTCACAGTCGCTGAAATGGTTTGATAATTCAGTCTCTAAGCCCCTCCTTTCTGAGAGCCTACTCTGCTCTGATTGTCCGTTGTGTGATTGGTTTACTCTGCTCTGATTGGTCAGATGAGCCAGGTTGTTGTAATTAGTCTACCGCTTAGTGTTGGAAACATCCGATTCATAGTGATGAGAACATTTACTATGGTGTCAGTTTCATGGTAATATATAGAAAGGTAAGATCCGGAAAAGCATAATGGGTCACGTTAATAAACCCGAGATTCAGAGGAGGTACTGAGCTCATCTTTTACCTCTCTGTGAATCCTCTGTGTATTTTTTTTTTTCATAGTCTGCAACTGTAATTGCTAGATTTTTGTGATTTATGGTTGTACACGGCTGTGTTTGTAAGGTCAAACTGAGAAGAGGTCAGACAAGGTGGTGGAAGATGCAAGTCGTTCTTCATAGAGAGGGGGGAAAGAGCATGATGTACAGAGAAAACCAACACAACAAATTACATGCAAATATTCGTTGTTGCCTGTCAGGTTAAAATTGTGAAGTTTGCCTCATGAGGTTCCACTAGCGTTTGACAACCCAATGCGTTTGATATACATATGATCGTTTGGAGCCAATTGTTTTGTGAAATGTCTGAAGTGTGTGTGTGCTTACGCTGTAAAAATGAATATGCTTTATTTAATCAAAAAAATTGTGGCAACTGATTACAAGCAATATTATTAATTAAATTTAACAAATTAGAATTGTTTAATTCCTTAAAAGTTAACAATTTAAAACGAGTAAAACTTACAACAACCAAAAAACAAAAAACAAAAAAAAGCTCGTCTGTTTTAAAATGATGGTTTTCTCCTTCAGGTGTTCTGCTTGTTAACATCAGTTACATCTGTTAGTGAGAGATGTTACATTTTTTCGGTGTAAACTTTACTCATTTTAAATTGTTAACTGATTAATTATTACTCAATTCAAATTTTTAATATTAATTAATAATATTGCTTGTAATCTGTTGCCACACGTTTATTGATTAGATAAAGGGTATTCATTTTTACAGTGTACTTTTAAAATATATACCACTCAGTTTGATCATTTTATGTAATGCATTGACATTCACGCCATTGGTGTTTTTTTATTTTTTTTATTTTACTTTTTAGAACCGCTCTAAACACTGCTTATGTTAAATACAAAATGTTTGTGAGTAAGACCTTGGTATCTCCATTGAAAATAGGGCTTGTTTCAGATGCTGCGGATGTCTCTTTGTGAGTGCCCGTCTCAATGGAAAGCTTTCATGGTGTTTCGATCCAAACAGTGAAAAAGAGCCACTCCCCCCTCAGCCAGCCCAGGGTTCAGGACCACGGAGAGCTCCTCTCGGCTCAGTCTGTCTCCAGGCAACCGTTGCGAAGTCCAATGAGCGGATGCAGATGAATGAGACATTTCCCTCGTGTCCACAGCTATGACCCTTTTGTGACTACCATCAATCAGCATAAAAATGAAAAATAGATGTCACTCTGCTGCTGCATCTCTTTCCTTTATTGGACAGATACCCTTGCACAGGTGGCGCATCCATCTGAAGCAACGAACAGATGCTTTATTAAATGGAAATTGAAACCTGAATTCTCCTAAAAGCATGATGCTTATGCTGCTGTTTGGCTAGACCGCGTCTGAGTCACTCCGTGAGCCGATGTGCTTGAGCATTTACACCAGATCAGCATATATAACAGGATTTCTGCAAGATAATGCTTTCTGAAAAGGCTTCATGTTTTCTGTCATATTTTATCCTCTCGTTTTGATCCCATAACACCAGTCGCAATCGCAACAGGCTTTGTAAACATTGCTACAATATTCAATCGAATGGGACTGGAATCTTTAAAACGGCATACTACATTTCTATTTAAATTGTAGATCGTAAGACACTGTGCGGTACACTGTTCACTCATAGCAAGAGCTATATTGCACAAAAGTTTTACAGATTATATATTGGGTAAACAAAGTTTTGCTGTGTTTTTAGAATACATGAATATATATTTATATATGTATATGTACATATGTGTCCTGAACTTGTTTATTATTATTACTACAATAACTGGGTAATAATTTACTAATGCTGAACCTAACCTTAACCAATGGATTAACCTTATATTAACCAGCACTTTTTAGGTACGTAGGCCTACTGTAAAATTAAGTAAAATACATGTTTTTCTTAACGATTCTAACTCTGGCGTGAATGCACTTTATAACCCTTAATCCTGTAATTGTGGACAAATGTGGGCACAGAGGACTCAGGTGTGATCCTAATTTTTATTTATTATAAATGTTATATCACTATCTTCGATAAAGTTTTTTCTATCCATTCATGGTGTTTGTTTTAATTTCGGGGGTATTTTTTAATTTATTTACTTCAAAAAGTACCATATTTTTTATGTAAATTATGCTTACTTTTATGTTTTATTTATTATTATTATTTTTTAACTACATTAAAATATCATTCCAATAAGTTCTTAGAGCTAAAACCTAAAGATGAAGTGACTTTGCTGTCACCTGGTGTCTTATTTTGGCTTATTTTAGAATGCTCTAAATTACAGTTTTTCCCATTCATTTCTATGGGTGCCCATTTTTGACCCAAATACAAGATTAAGGAGTTTTTTTTTTCCACTCATTTAACATTGTAGAATTGAGTCAAAAAATAATGTGTGTGTTCAGGAGGCAAACTTAGGAAAAGTAGCCAAGTCTTGTACCGCTCAGACCAAGGGAAGTATTTTGCCCACATTTGTCCAGAATACGGTTTTAGGGTTAAGTGTGTGTATAAACTAATTTCTACTAATGTTTGACTTTGAATTCTTCTGTGTTTCTGCAGATATTAATATGGCCGGAGAGCCCAAACCCTACAGGCCTAAAGCGGGATCCAAACGACCCCTAACTGCTGTCTACAGGTGGGTGTGTTTCCTATAATAGTAGGGCAACATATGACTATACTTGTATATGTATGTTTTATACAAAACTCCCTCTGACTGTGTGAATGTTGCTTCAGATAACATCCTGCAGTGTAAATGAAATCCCTTCGCCGTTCTTGTATGCACCCTTGTTAGGAGAGCTGAGGTAGAACGGATTACAGTCTCCTTGGTGTTGCTGAATGAAGCCGTCAGCACATTTGTCATATTATCAGGTTTAGATAACAGAACAACCCGCGGTCTTATCAGCACATTCATTCAATTGCTGAAGTTGCAGTTGTCTCACAGGTTCGGTTAGCTTGTTGAACTCCTATAGGAAGCGAAAAGCTCCAGACGCATCAGTGAAAACTAACCAAGCAGGGAATGAGTGGAAAAATCAATGCTTGAAAAGGTATTAGGCATTTACTCCTTTATTGGCAAGCTTTTATGGGGATTCAGAGCATTTTATTGCAAACAATACATTCTAGCGAATGCTAAATAAATAGTGACTGGTCCATGAAACAATTACTGAATTAACAATGTTTCTGTTTAGATCCATAAATGTAATGGGGGTGCCTTTTCTTTTTCTTTTATTTGCACTAGCAAAGAATAATAGAGTTATAGTAATGAAACATTTAATTACTTTAAGAATTTTGGGCAATTCAGTTGCTTATGTGCCATAAGAGAGTCCTTTCAAGGACTGTAGCTTATTTTGGTTCTCTTGTTACATTTTATTTTACTTTAGCTGATTCAGGGTTTTTAATTCTTTATTTCTTGCTCTCATTGTGTTTTTGAAATTCGTTAAGTCTTGATTTGCATTTCAAATTGACTAACGCAACCCCATCCATTATTTAATCAGAGGTATAGGCTTAATTAAGAGAATACGACAGGAGCCAACCAACAAAGAATAGCTTTGAATGTTAATTAGTTAGGAATGAAATGGTCAAAAGAACAGAGAGATGCCAATAATGGAATATAATGAGGTTTTGTTTTGGAAATGGTCCCAAAATCGTCCTTACTCCACTTGATATAGTTGACTGGATACTCATAATGTGCATGGCATGCATTTAAATGCTCAATTGTATTAGGGTTGACCTTGTTTGCTTCCTTAATAGTTGTCCTGATGTTTCATGCACAATTAATCGTTAGCTATATTTCCATCCATATATTTTTATGTGCATTTTTGGGATATTGCATTATAAAACCCAGCTGTTGGAACCGCAAAGATGCACATAAGCTCTAAAAATGTCCATAAAAAAAATGAATGTGCTTAATTGAATTGGATAAGAAGAGATAAACTACAATTTACCAAATAAATCCATGTATTAGTAATTGATAAATCTCAACTGTGAGAATCAAGTTGAATGCATGATTTTGGCGTTACCAGCAAAAATTAAACAAAATCAGAGTTTGTAAATATTAAAAAAAGTTACAATACTGTTTAAGTACATTTTTATTTGTTGTTGTATTGAATCCAGTTAGGGTTGACCCACAACTAAAGTCTTACCCAGAATTCGAATGTAATGCAAGTGTTAAAAGGTCGAATGTTTTTGCTTCCATTTAAAGCACACAATGTCCTTTTTAACATGCAGAACTTGATTATCAGGTTTTATTCATGTTGGATTCAGTGCTTAAAATTCAGTTATTAAAGCAAAGGCAGACAGAGTACAGGACCTAGACATTCTGAAATTCATATTCAATTTCAGTTTAATGGAGTTGTTCAATTAAAAAAAAAAAACCTTTTGCTGATAATTTACTCACCCCCATCATGTCATCCAAGATGTCCATGTCTTTCTTTCTTCAGTCGAAAAGAAATTAAGGTTTTTGATGAAAACATTCCAGGATTTTTCTCCATATAATGGACTTTAACGGGAACCAAACGGTTCAAGGTCGAAAAGACAGTAACAGTGCAAACTGCAAACTGATCAAAGGGCTTTAAACGATTTCAGACGGTGAATAAGGGTCTTATCAAGCCAAACGATCGCCCATTTAAAAAAAAAAAAAATATATATATATATATATATATATATATATATATATATAACAAAGTTTAAGTTTTATAAGCTCAAATGCTCGCCTGGCTCTGTTCTGTGATGACTCTCCTGTTCAAACTCGTTCATCAAAATCAACGAATCTTTTTTCGTGTCATTTAGTTCTTTCAATGAATTCACAAAGATTTGTTCATTTTGATGAACGAGTTCGAACAGGAGAGTCACAAATGCGCATCACAGAACAGAGCAAGGCGACCATTTGAGCTTATAAAACTTAAACTTCGTTTTTTTTTTTTTTTAAATGAGCGATCGTTTCGCTAGATAAGACCCTTATTCATCGTCTGGTGTCGTTTAAAGCCCCTTGAAGCTGCACTGAAACTCTCATTTGGACCTTGAACCGTTTGGTTCCCATTAAAGTCCATTATATGGAGAAAAATCCATGAATGTTTTCATAAAAAACCTTAATTTCTTTTCGACTGAAGAAAGAAAGACATGGACATCTTGGGTGACATGGGGGTGAGTAAATTATCAGCAAAAGTTTTTTAAAAGTGAACTACTCCTTTAAATATTCACTCTAATTTTCATGCTGAAATGAAGTTGTAAAATAATTCAAAATAGCGTTTTCATATTGTATTTCACTGCCCTGTACATGAAATAAAAATGACTGAAGAAGAATCCCTGTTGCTTTCCTTGTCCGTTGACATTATAAGTCTTCTGAAGAGAAGTGCTGCTACTCTAAAGGGTTCACACAAAGTTTACTAGATGGAGTCCAGGTAGGGGTCACACACAAACTGGAGAATGTCTTTCTCACTGTCTGATTTTAACTAACAGGAGATTTGGATTGCTGCTGTTACCGAAGAGTAACTGTATTTGGGAGCTTTGAATGATTTATGATGGCTGAAGATGCCTGAAGAACGTGGATTATTTGACTTGCACGAGTTTGATGAGTGTCTCTACACATTTAAATCTTGGCTATAAATTGATTGGCGTTGTGTAAAGTGTAAAATCTTCCTGCGTCACATCTGTCAGTGTCAGTTCAGCTGTAAATACATGTCTAAATCAAGGGGCAAATCCCATCAGTTTAGGCCTAAACCATTTTTGTCATTTTCCTGTCATAGTGAATCACACTTTACATTGTGCCTTTGTTTTGTCTCTTTCAGTGGTTATGAATTTGATTATGATTACTACAGAGATGATTTCTACAATAGGTATGTATGCATTTATTTACAGATGTTTAAACCCAGTTTTAAATGACCATAAAGAGTTGTAAGTCCATGGGATATGTGTCAGATCTGCATCATGTGCTTCAGCTCTTAAAGTGACAGCAGCCTAATAAACCTGCTGCTGTCTGTCATTAATGTAAATCACAGAACAAAAGACAAAAAGAAAATCACTCACTTCTCTTGACTTTTGTAGATTTAATAAGGATTGATCTATATTTATCTATATCTGATCTATATTCAAAATGTATGCAGTGAAGACTGGGAAGTGTTTGATAACTTTTACTATTATTCAATTTCTGTATATTTCCTACCGGTTAATCACATGTTTAAAATGTATAAACTGTCTTTATGCTGTTTCTACATTAATTTGAAGATTAAATGTGAAATTATTACAATATAAAAAAAATATTAAAAATGTTAACGTTTGATTTAGGAGAGATGATTTCTACAATAGGTATGCATGCATTTATTTGCAGTTGTTGAAACCCTTAATCTAATTGCACATATTTTGAAACACTCAAGTCCTTCAAACCTATAAAATGATGCACACAAAGAAATTAAAGTGATTAAAAATGACTTTCACAGAAAATCAATACTCTTATTTATCTTAAAACGCCTACAGTTTGTCCTTGAAAAGAATTAAGAGAAAAGAAATCCATCAGTGTTGAGTAAATTGAGCTCATCTTTAATTTCTGAAAAGACCTGTTTTATTTTTTCGCTCGTTTCCTTCTTATGATCTCATCTTTTATTAGCAGAGACATTTGCTAAATGTCAGCTGGGTGGAGAGCTGTGAATATCAAGGAGAGATTGATGGTAGAGCGAGGGCATGTGCCTTAGTTTGACATTTTCTTCTTTGACATCCTTTCTTTTCTGTAAATTCTTTTGAGAAATTCGCCTGCCTTCCTTCATGAGGAATTTCAAAAGTAGCTCTACTAATTGCAGGGAAACCGGGAACCAGGAGTCAGAAACGTTTCCAGAGCCGAAAACCCTTTTAAGATGGCATATAATTCCGAGTCAAAAGGCTGGTTTTGAATGATAATGATGTTATGGCGTCTTTCGTAAACTCTGCACTTCTTCTTAACCGGTTAGGCTCTTTGACTATCACGGACGGGTGGCTCCTCCTCCGAGGGCAGTGATCCCACTGAAGCGTTCGCGAGTGGTACTTCCATCCACTCGACGCGGGAAGAGTTCCTTCCCTCTTAAAACCTCCTCCGCTTCTTCCTCAAGACCTCCATCTTCATCGTCGTCCTTTTCCTCTGGGCTGAAATGTAAGCCATTTAAAAAGTCTCACACGGTTGTCCATAAAATGTATTAAAGGGATAGTTCACTTTGAAATTCATTTTTAGTATGTTTTAGCTTAACTCAAGGGCATCCAAGATGTAGGTGTCTTTGTTTTGGCAGTAGTTCCAATTTTGATATTTTTAGGTCAAACCGTTATTGTGTCAATCATATAATGGAGGTCTATGGTCACCACCTCAAAGAGCATGCACAGAGAAGTCCAAATTAAACATGATGTAATGACTCGTTAATGTAAGTACACACTGATGGCCTAAGACACGAAATGAGCGGTTTGTGTGAGAAAACGAACAGTATTTATATCGTTTTTACCTCTTGTTACCACAGCCACAAAGCGTCCGCACCCTTAGATCACTTGGACATGGCTGTGGTTACAAGAGGTAAAAACGATATAAATACTGTTCGTTTTCTCACACAAACCGCTCATTTCGTGTCTTAGGCCGTCAATGTGTACTTACATTTACGAGTCATTAAATCATGTTTAATTTGGACTTCTCTGTGCATGCTCTTTCAGGTGGTGACCATAGACCTCCATTATATGACTGACCGACAATAACGGTTTGACCTAAAAATATCAAAATTGGAACTACTGCCGAAACAAAGACACCTATCTTGGATGCCCTTGAGGTAAGCTAAAACAAACCAAGAATTAATTTCAAAGTGAACTATCCCTTTAATTTATCAATGTAGTATATTGTCTTTTTTTTATAATAATGCAACTTGGACTGTCCATAGAATCAAAAATGCAACTGCAATTTATTTATCATTTCATAATTTAATTTAGTGGGGTGTGATGAGATCTCGAAAAAAAAAAATGTCATAAATGCCACTTGACTTGGTATTTTGTTGTCTAATACATTGACATTCATGCATTTTCATACTTTTACTGCAAAAATACATTGCATGTTGCAGACATCGCACCGACAGATCCACAATGTCCTTTACACCATTAAATCACTGACCTCTGGTATTGGCAGACTGTGGCACACTGTATGAATTGCATTAGCTTTACTCTGGTTTATAGTCTGGAACACGTTGGTCAGTAGCCCTCCCTTACAGGTTACACAAAGTAAAACAGACTTTTTCTTATTTCATGGGAGCAAAAATCAAGAACGTATTGATTTTTGCAACCAAAGAGCATTCTGAGACTTCATTCTGACTGGGATTCGAGCCAAACGGCAAGACAGAAGATCATGCATTCGTGTTTGTAAATTAGAATTCATAACACTAATTCAGATTTTATCTCTAAACCACAAGTAGCAGCTTTCACAGCATCTGTCAGCATCCCGCCTTCTCCTCGGAGCGGGGAGCTCAGACGTCGAGATTAGCTGTGGTGCGTGACACTAATGCTCTTAGCCGTAGTGCTGCGGTCTCCGGGGGCTTTTCTTATATCAGTGCAATTCACGGCCAGAAATATCCATAGCATTCACACAAAAGTGCCACTGTTTACCTTAATCTGCATTTCACTGGAGTTCACGGCACAAACTGGAGATTAGCTTTATACGACACCAAAATAGCATTTAATTTGGCTCGAAAAGTTTACTTTGGCTGTTTTGCTCAAAGCAACTGCTGATGAAAATGCAGTCTTTAAGATCAGAATTGTGACTGTCACCAGAAAACACAATTCTATATAATAGAGGATATCTGAAATTTGCTGTACACAACTACTGCAATTTTCATCACCCATAAACTAGAGTGAAAAAACCTGCTTCATCTGCCTGTGAAATAATTTTGGGTAATGGAACTTTAAAATATTTAAAGTTACATTTAAATAGTTACAGTTAAACAGAATTTGCTAATTCTATAATGCATGAAGCTTTTGTGGCCTCCTATTAATACCGCTAGCTTTTTTACTTTTTCATTTGTCACCATTGAAAATGAACTCATGGCAAAAAGGTGATTAAAAAAAGTAAAGAAAAACTTAGGGAAGACAGGGGCATGAAAATAGTTAAACAAAGCTGTCTGTATTTTATTTAAAAAAAAAAAACCAGTAAAGACTGTGATGATATCACAATATTACTATTTAAAATAAGTTTTAATTTTAATACTTTATAAAATGTAATCTATTCCTGTGATGCAAAGTTGAATTTTTCATTTTATAAAAGTTATTAAATTTTAAGAGGGCTTACAACTTGTGACAACTAGCCCCGGTGTCCTTTTCTCTTACGTTGATTTTAATCTAGAAACTTGATGCATGTAGTATATCCTACTGCCCACCACACATCCTCTAAATTATTCCAAAGTACACATCTTAAAACAAGCGATAAAGAGTAAGTTAACTGTCATCTGTCAAAAACAAAATGATGCTCCTCTAGTTTGTGTTTCATAGGTTGCGCAGATTAACACTCCTTCCGTATTCACATTTGTGAGCTTTTTGGACATGTTGTATGTGGAGTTTTGAAACCATTTAAATGGTTGCATGCAGACGCGTTCATTGAATTTCATTAGATGCGACGCTTCGTCAACTAAACACTTACACACGCAGAGCTTTCTGCCTCAGGCGGGTGATGGCAGGTGACACCATTTTGTGAGGTAGTGGGAAAGCTGGCAGTGGTGTGACAGCAGTGCTGGGTCACGCTGTGTTATCAGGGCTGAAGGCGGTGATGGCAAAGCGTTAAGCTTTCTCAAGGAGAGTATGCTGCATTTTCTGCTGTCATTCGGTATATTAAAACAGTAACTTATGTTTTAGAAACAAGATTTCCAGACTCTTTTCATGAATGAACGATTCAAACTTGTCTTTATGAGTGAGTCTCTAAATGATTCGGAAAAAAAAAAAAATTGTTCATTAATGAATCAGTGATTTTAAATCATATTTTTCTGATCTTTCGTTCATGAATGAAATGGCGTTGTCAAACGAATCACTTGAAAGATTCAAGAACGTTGTAAGTGAATGAGGCTCACACAAATAAAGTCACTTGTTTAGTTCCTGAATGAATTTAGCATTTTCGAACGAATCACTTGATTGAATGATTCAAATGTAAGAGATTCCCTTTGTTTAGTTTCTGAATGAACTGTTGTGTTTGAACTAATCTAATCTTGCAACATGACCTCATGACTTTTGCGTAAACACACACGCCACTTTCAAGTCAAGTGGCGTGTTATGTATACGCATTTTGAGCTATCCGCGTGTATGTACACGCTGTTAAATGTCAGAGCGAAATAAAGCAAAATGTAGATCTACATCTGGGGAGCGATATTTTTTCCTTAGGATGGTAGGGGAAGCTTCATAAATGGTATTAACCCCAGTGACGGGTAGGTTTAGGGACGAGGTTGGGGTAGGTCATATATTTATATATACAGTAATGTAACGTTAAGTCATTAGTTGAATGAATGGTGACAACTTATCTTTTTATTCCGTCTGAACTGTGCCCTGAATTACACATATGATGTTTGTCAATTTAAAAGATAATTCTGAAAGTCAAAAAAGTTTGTCATAAAACAGAAGAGTAACATTTAGTTTTATGTGAAAATCGCTCTATGAACTACATCTCCCGGGAAGCGAAACAACGAGTGAGATCCGCTGCTCGTGTGTGTGCAGTCTGGTACAAAACACTCAGGTATGACGGCGTAACGTTACGATTATAACGTAAGACTATAGAAACAATGACGGACAATAGCCTCAGTAAAGTTAGCTTCATTCATTGAGAGAAAATGTGCGCCTTTGGGAATTGTAGTCTTTGTAATTACGTATTTTCACAGTCTTATACCTCAACGGTTTTACATCAAACTGCGACTTTCTTTACTTTAAAATGTATTTTTAAATTGACAAACATCATATGTGTAATTCAGGACACAATTCAAACGAGATCAAAATATTTGTTGTCTCTCGCCATTGACTACCATTCAATTTTTTTCCGAAATAAGGTCCCATGGTGGTCGACCGGAAGGGGAGGGACTTAGGCTCTCTATCGGTGTGTCATACATACGCCATTTCATGAGATCAGTCTGGTTCTTGAACGTGCGTGTCGTCAGTAGATCACGCGCAGGACTTTCCACTCCCGTCGGTGCACTCATGGCATTGCATCCTCCTTCTAATTTGCCCTGTTTAGTAAATCTGGCCCTCAGCATGTAAAACAGATCTACAGAAGGAGAGGTTTTGGGTTGATTTCGAACCACATGAAAGCAGAACATTCCACCTACATGTCTGCAGTTACACTTAGTAGCTTTGAAAGATGTCAAGAACCATTTCCATATTTTAAAGTGATCCTGCATTGGATACCATCTCTCTAGCCTATTTGGGCTTTCAGTTAGAAGTTCATTCTTGTTTGCTCAGAGCGGCCTGCTGATTTTAAAAGCTTATTAGATTCAATGTGTGTCCAATGGTGTAGTCAAGTCATCTGAGGGAGATTAATCTGACAGCTGCCAGATGAAAAAGAAGCTGTGGAATATTTAAAGCGGAGTATTTACAGAAATTAGCAGCATGAATTAAGCTAGCAGAGACTTTTCATCCCATATTAGTTGTATAGAGTCATTCAGGGTGACCATGGGTGAATGTCTTGCTCATGAGCACAATGTCATGATGCAAGATTGTAAACTGCCTAGTTCATCTTTAGGACTGAAGTACAACCAGATCTGTAGCCAGGTGAAGACAAACATCCTTTTAGAATACTGTACTTTAGCAATATGTATACTGTATATTTACGTGTAGTTTCCCTATGCTTGATGTGTATTTAACCTCATTCTCAGTCTTATTAAATATTACTTTAAGCAAATTAACGTAACGTAAAACAAATTTTTTTACGTAAAATCGGGTGCAGCCATCCTTATCACATATTTTAGACATCATAAATATCATTAGAAAGCTCAGACGCTCAATTTATCCTACTGAAACTCTTTTGAAATTGAACATTGCATTACCAGGGAAATGGTGCTTTAAAACCATCCATTTTTGTGATGCCAACTTCAAATTTGGAACACACCTTGGATAGACGTGGCTTTGATTTTCTAGACATTTTAGAGTCCAAATTAGAGCCAGACCGATATATCGGCCGGCCGATATTATCGGCCGATATTAGGCATTTTCCAAAATATCGGTATCGGCAGTTATAATGGCCGATAAATGAATATTTAAAAAATAAAAATAAAAACGGATGAAACACGCTTCAATCATCTCTCCCTGGCCTGTTATATTGAAAATGTATGTTTTACAATTTGCAGTATGATGTTATCTATTGCTAAATTATGGCTCATCATAGACTAGCTAACCACAAAGCAAGCTAATGCCAATATCATCAGTGGAAGACCGCTAACGTTAACATTAATGAGCTTGGAAACCACAATGAACTTTTTCTGGCTAAATAAAGTAATGATTACTGTATTTATAACTAGCATATCTCTAGTTACAGTCCCTGCCTTGTAAAATGTAAGTTATACTTGTGAGGAGTGAACATTTAGACATAGAGAAAAAGTATCAAATGTATCTTGTGCAGAAAAGTGAGTTTTTCTTTTACACGCTTGTGAAATCCAACAATATTTAATAAAAAAAATATCGGCCGATATATCGGATTTTAAAACCCAAAAATATTTGTATCGGTATCGGCCTTCAAAATCCTTTATCGGTCGGGCTCTAGTCCAAATGATGTAAAATGTATATATTGTGAATAAAATAAAAACCTTGAAGTTAGAATATGTTGGTTACAACCATTTTAAGTGCAGATCTCAAGAGGACAACAGTTCACAGGTTTAAAGAAACTAATATGCAATAAACAGTATGCAGTGAACAGCATGATAATATTGCATTGCAAATCAACTCCTAAGAAACAAACATCACTCTTGATTATTTGTATTTGTTTCAGGCTGCAAACAGTTCTTATTAGGTTTTAGTGACTGAGAAAAGCAGTATCTATGAAAACATGAACTGAAGAAACATGATCTTTCTTGTATAATGCCAGGTCCGTGTATCATCCGATCATTTAATGTCCAATTTGAAATGAAATAAGCAGAAATGAGAAAACGGCACCTTTATTGGGGTCATGAGACGCCCCCTTCCGCTGATTGGTCAAGTGAATCGGAGCATGTGACGTCATCAGTCATCGCTCAGGTCTGTTTAACAAAATAGTCCTCAATGGTAATCTACCCATTAAGGATGTAATTTGTCTTTTTGAAAACTCAAACAAATCTACTGGTAACTTCCTTGTCCTTGTGGCAAACTTTTACTTTCACAAAGAAAATTCCTTACTATTAAAGATTTCTTGTTTTTTCGGGGGGGTTTTTTAAACGAATAAAGGTGCAGTTTTCTCATTTCTGCTTATTTGAAATGATCGGATGATACACGGATCGTCGGCCGATATCAACCAGCGTGTCTGAATGAGATAAGAGCTAAAGAGCTGAATTAAAAACAGCGAGACAGGCAATTCTTTAACTCTTAGTTTAGAACCAGCAGGCCTGAACAAGTTGTCTGACATTATCTGTAGTGATAAAAGCGTGAACGTGGATGCACTGTTATCTCCTGAAATCATGTTTTTATTGCATTTTCTTCTCCAGCAGTGAAAACTGATCAACTCCAGACTATCAAACGTGAACTGACTCAGATCAAGACGAAGATCGACTCTCTTCTCGGCCGCCTGGAGAAGATCGAGAAACAGCAGAGATCTGAGTGTGGTGAGTCAGACAGAGCTATAGGAGAGCAGAAATAAAATCGGCTGTACAGGGAGAAATATTGGGAGTGCGTATACACTATCTATCTCTGTGACAGGCGAGGAGACAGCGGCCAATTTGTCATAACTGTTATAAAGCTAATCTTGCCCTGTTTTAATATAGCAAATCCCATTTCACCATGTTGACCAGTAACTGCAGTCTCGGATTCAAGAGTCAAACTTTAGGTCTGTTCCATGGGCTTGATTTAAGATTAAAGACGTAGTTCACCCAAAACTGACTATTCTTTCCAAACCCATATGACTGACTTTTGTTCCTTTTACCATTATAAACCCTAAGCCCTCTATATGATCAACAAAACACTGTTGTACACAGTTTCCTACATGCCTTTTAGGATAATTCAACCCTCTTCAGATAGTGGTACGTTGTTGGGCCAACTCAATTTTGGACATTTTAATTCTAAATACTAATAATTGAGTTGGGCCAACTCAATTTTGGACTTTTTAATTTTAAATATTAATTATTGAATTATTACTGTGAAATCTGTTTTTTATAAAATTAATAACTTGTATTGTTGGTAATATTTCAAGATGATCACTTACTGGACTGAAGCAACTTAAGTTTACTTGATTTGTCTAAAAATAAGATGTATAGAAATCAAGTTAAAATGTATAAAATATTACGGTTAATGAAAGTCCATTAAAATTGTAGAGCTTTGATCATAAAACTAAGCATTTAAATATCTTAAGACATGTTATTGGGAGAGATTATCAGGGCTCTCAAGCGTCACGCATTTCGGTCTTTTGTCACGCACACCCGCCACACATTGTATTTCTCATGCAGAAAAACAATTTATAATATATTTAATAATATAATATATTATATTATTATAATATATAATAAAATATATTATATATATATTATCTCCCCTGCTCTCGAGACTGTCACTTATCAGCCAATCAAAAAAAAGGAAGGGCTACACAAAGGCTAGCCAATCAGTAAATAGAACTATTGTATCTGGGTAAGATTTAACGCAACAACCAATAAAAAAAAAGCATTTCCTGAAATTGTTCATGTGATTCAGCAACAACATCTCTTCCAAAAGTTTTGTTCACCCGCAGAGGAAACGACTTTGAGCAGAGTAAGCCATGATCTCCTGTTTTAATGTTACAACAAATTTACAAATTGTTGAACACAAACAATGACAGCTTGACTGTTGTTAGAGAATCATATTTTATAATTATCCTGGCCATGGATGCATTAATCATTGCATCTGTCTTTCAAAGATGTCAGGTAAAAAGCAAACAAGCATCCTCTCATTCGCCCTGAGAGGAAAGCCCCCTAAAATGGCTGGGCTTGAGCTGAAGTGTTTTAAATTGGAGCCAACACCACAAATGGTAAAGCCTGTTTTCAAAACTTGAGAGCCTTGGATTATAAAGTGACGACTGATATGTATATGCCTTTTAATGCAGGTTGCCTGCTAAACTGCTTTAAAGATCTAACTTGCATTTGACTTTTTGGCCATATAACTGTCAACAATTGCACTAAATTGCATATTTTTGCTCAGTTTGTGTCTCTGAATAACGGGAGTTTTTTCTTCTTCCTCGAGTGTGAGTGCCATATTCTCTTATCATACTACATAAGCCATAAAAGCCTGATGTATCAAAAATATGAAACTCAACAAACATTTCTTTTTATATTTTGTCTGAAGGTTCAGTAAACTGTTCTATTTAATTTTTATGTATTTTAATATATACAAAAATGTATATTTTTTACTACACACATGCTTGTATATATTTAAGAAATATTTTCTTGTATATACTCTATATAGATTTATATATAATTTATATTATATATAAATATAAATATTTTATTAAAAAAAAATTCTTAAATATACATGCATGTGTGTGTATTTATATTTATATACACACAAAATAATTATACACAGTGCACCCACATATATTATGTAAACACAAACTTTTATTTTGGATGCAATTAATTGTTTGACAGCCCTACTATAAAGTTTTAAAGGATTAATGCATCATATTTGCATACAAGTAAAACGGGTTTAGAATGACATGAGGGTGGAAACAAAAATGTTATAAATGAAATAAATCATAATCGTCACAAATACCCGTGTCTTTTCTTCAGAGCCTCATAGGAAATATGAGGAGAACTGTGACTCCTTGCATGAGGAGTCGATATCGGAGACGGCGGATAACTCTGGAGAGGAGGGAGGAGAGGGAGCGCTGGATGCGGAGGCGGGAGAAATGACAGATGGTGGCGAGGATGACTACGATGAAGAAGGCAGCACTGATCTGGTACGTCGTCCCCCCCCCCGGCGAGCCTCGCTGGCAGCCGTGGGTCTGAAAAGCCCTGTTGAAGCTAATTCTGCAGATTTATTCATCGTTGCGGACATGGGAGAGCAGGAGCTGACGAGGTTCCGCTGGGCTGCTCCGAGTTCTCTTAACCCTCACCTGTCACGCTCCGTAATTAAAACAGAGTCAGAACCTCTGGAGACACTACGGTCCAGCAGCACCACCACCAACAGCAAAGTCAATTTAACATTTAGGATGTGCTTCCCACTGAGGAGACAGGCAGACTTGCATTTTAATGAGCTCTTCCATTTTCTTAAACTTGAAATGAGAGGAAAACCTCAAGGCGAACTCCCGCTGGAAAGATTCCCAATGGTATGTTACCCACATTTCAGGTCAGGACTGTGATCTCCAACGCAGATCCCCAAACAATACAGATTTAAATTAGCTAGACTGCAAGTGAATCTCAAGGTGTTTTGAGAGCTGCTCTTTCTCCGTAGATGGATAGCTGGATTACATCTGCTCTTCTGGTGCCATGCAGCTTTTATTGATCATTTGTCTGTCTGAAAAAGGCTGTTAGATGATGTGAATGACTGAGATCGATATATATTAGTTTGATAGAAGGTCATGGACCGTCTGAGACGTTTTGCACCTAAAATGGTTAACTCAACCATTATTTGAATATATTTTTAAAATGTAATTTATCGCTGTGTTGGCAAAGACGAATTTTAATCAAGTCTTCAGTCTTGAGACTTGATCCTTCAGAAATCATTTTAATATGCTTATTTTCTGTTCAAGAAACATGTATTATTATTATCAATGTTAAACTGTTGTGATGCTAACATTTTCTTTCTTTCTCAAGATTCTTTGAATTGAATGTAAAAAAAAAAGTTACAAAATGATTTTTTTTTATTTGTGTTTCAGATGGAGAATCATGTGTCTGATATTGACAATTGAAGGTAAGTTGATTTATGTCCTCTGTATTTTATTTCATAGAAGTATGTTAATGCTTTTTTTACATTAGATATTAGTTTAATCAATCCGTTTATTCATTAACATGGTGACGGGATGAATGATATTGATCGCAGAATGCAGTGCAAATACAGTCTTTTTTTTAGAGTTCTGCATCCAGAGAGGAAATCAACTCTGCATTGAACAGAAGACATGAAACTCTGTGAAGACGGACGTCTCTTCTCTAAGAGGCCACGAAGACTCGTGATTGGCTGATTAGATGCAGGGCACATATTTGGACAAGTTTAGCATCTGCTAGTCACAACTGCTGTTTTTCATTTAATAATGTTGGCAAATTCAATCATATTTGACTTTTACAGGATATGTGCAAATCAAATGTTATTTTTAAGTTCATCATGCAAACACTAAAGTTTAATTTTAAACTTTAAACCCCCCACCCCACCACCAAAGGATAACTTATTTGAGCAAAGATTTTTACAGTCTTTGTGTGGAAAATGAGCCTTAAATGTCCGAAAACTTGGCATTTTCAAAACCTTGAGGATTAATAGAGAATTTAAGTAGAATTATAATATATATATATACACATATATACATATAATTTTTTTTAATTATTATTATGATTTATTTTTACACACACTCCTACTTATTTCCTAGCCAGTTTATGCTTTCTGAAAATGTTTTTTGTGTAATATTTACTTGTGTAATTCTTCTCCATGGATCAAAACATATTTTTGATTCCCAAACCGAATCCACTAAAAGTCAAGTATTTGGTTTAATGAAAGTTTTAGCTCCGTACTGCCATATTAGTTTCATTAGACTCAAACTTATAATGTACACATCAGTGTGACTGAAATATTGTCAGACCACTGCAACTCAAAAAAAAAAAAAAAAGAATTATTTCTTAATGTGTCATAATTTGTAAAGATACTGTAAAGATGATATTGTGTGTACATTGTCACTGTATTTTGTTTTTATCATGCATAGCTGTGTGTTATTCAGAACGACATGTAGTAGTCACATTGTTTCCGTTCTCTATGATGTCATCCGGTATGGAGTGTCATAATGAACTCTATTTTTGTATGGCAGATTTACAGAAAAAGCTTCAGAATATCCATCTTTGTTCTGCTGACATTTTCATTCTGCTACTGTACATAATTTATTTGTTTGAATAATGGAACTGTATGTGTATAGCTTAAAAAAAAAGAAAAAGATTGATGGAAAATGGATCCGATTGTTTTGCTATATTTTGAAATTGGTGTCATGTTTGGGAGAAAAACTATTCTATACCGGTCTAGGTCACTGATGACATCTCAGAGGCCTAGAAATATAATTAAAATTAATTCATATTGTATAGAAATGTAAACTATTTGTAAAGATATTTTTTATGATTGGCATGTTAATGTATTTTCAGTTCATTGTCTGGCTATAGGCTTTGTGGTATAGGAACAGACTGCCATTACAATCACTATATAAAAATTGCGAAATATTATTTTCCTTCTATATTTGCTGTGGAGCAGAACTGAATACAATATTTCAGCTATAAGGTCAGCCTAAAATGCACTGATTTTAAGAATATAAGAAAAAACATTTATTGGCTCTGCATGTGACAATTAGTTTGGCTGTGATTTTGTAGTCATAAAATAACAGACAATAGAATATTTATTAAATTTAGATCCTTACAGCGTTGAATTGCCACGTTTCAGTAATATTAAAGGTGAAGTGTGTAGTTTCTATGACAATAGAGGTACTTAGTGGAATTATAAAAAATAAAGAATATTTTTCAAACACTCGAACATATTATAAATGTATATCCAACTATATTGTTGCTATAGCTGTGGTGTGAACTCTGCTATTCTTTATTATTGAGAATATTATTATTATTATCTTTACACAGTAAATATCGTCCTTGCTGTGAACGAGCCGTAACACTGCAGAGCAAACGCATAGCGCCTCGCTGCACGAAGGCTGCCTACTTTAGGCAAAAAAAAAAAAAAAATAGTATGTGACTAAAGTAGTATGTCCAAAATCACAGAGTTAAGAGTTATCAAAAGCACTCAGATGACCTACTACTTCGGGGAGATACTGAAGTGTGCATATGATGGACACACTTTACTATCCCATGAGGCCACGAGAGAGGATTTGGGAATGGCTGCAACTGATGCTGGTAGGTAGCCTGGCTAACGCTGAAACGACGTGGTCTGGAAACTAGATGTAATTTTTCTCGTATTTGAGTCGTGGTTTACCAATGCGCCTGTGCTCCTTCCCCGTTCTCTGATTGGTTGCCTATTTCGGGGGGAAATTTGGTTCATGGTATGTGATAGATATGTGTATAAATACCAGACTGAAAAAAAATCGCGCTGCGGCAAGGCGGAATGGGGAAACCCAGGCTAGCTGGTAGGTGAAATGTGAAAATGACAGCATAGTGAATGTACTTCACCTTGTGTACAATACCTAGTGTACACTAGATGAAGTACACTGTACACTAGGTAATGTATTCATATTCTTCAAAATATCTTCTTTTGTGTTAAACTGAGTTAAGAAACTGATACAGGTTTGGAATAACCTGAGGGTGAGTAAATGTTGACATCAATTTCCTAAACGTTCTTTATAGTGAAAAAGGGTCAGTAGATTATTAGAAAGTTCTTCACACTAAGAAACAAAAGATTCTTTTAAAGAATTGATCTCTGAAAGGTTCTTTGGGACACCAAAAATGTTTCTTTATGGCATAAAGTTCAATACAGTTTCTTTTTGTGTGTGTGTTTATCAATGTTAACAAATATACTATTCTCTCATCTATGGATCAGAAGGTTGCTAAATGTAGGATTGGCTGTTAGGAAGACTAGTTTGGAGAGGTAGACTTGACTGAATCTGGTAGACGTATGCAGCACAGGAAGTAAGCCATCCATAGTCTCTTGAAGAACCCACTTCTCTTGTCATTTGTATGTTCATCTAAAGTGAGGAAAGAGAAAAAGAAAATTATACTAAAACAACAAGCATTATTCTGTTAGATGCATATTTGTATTGTTTTAAATTCATCCAAAGATGGCTCTTCAGGCACTTGATTTGGCAAAGTGTAGGTCTACAATACATACACTCTGGGAAGCCGTTCATTGGATAAATTCTCAGGGCCTGAAGTTAACTTTTTCGGCTACCGGCCACTGTGGCAGATGGATATAAAAATTCACCTGCCACAGAGACCTTTTACCTGCCTTTTTTTTTTTTTTTTTTGCGCCTCATAAAGCTGAAAACCCCCCGGGAATTTCACAATATTGTTCTTTAACTTGTAAGAATACACATTTAAGTGCTGTCAAGTAATAATAACTCTAAGAATATATGTGTGTCTGTGTGTGTGTATAGTATATACTCAACAGATCTATGCAGCTCGTATGTAAACAAATCACACGCGGTTGTGTTGATTGCTGATTTAGTCACTGTGATAGATGTGACCAGTAAAGGGTAAAAGAACACAGAGGCAGCAGCCTACAGCAAACGTTTAGGGGTTTATTTCCCCTTAGATGGGGTTACAAAAGTGAAGCCAATGCTAAGCCAATGGTGGTAAACCAAACATACCAAAAATCAAATAACAAAAACAAAACCATACAATAAAGATGGGTCACTGCATTTGCCTCTCAAACATTTACAGAGGTCAAGGGCTTACAGACAGAACCTGTTCTCTCACAGAACAGGTGGCCAGCACCAATTAACACACAAAGGGAAATACTATATAATGGCCATTATTATAGTAATACCATGTAATACCATGTAATAATTTATTACACACAATAAACGAATATGCAAACACCCAATAGACATAAACAAACACCTCAAATAGTACTATCAATTGACTTCACTTAATAAATGTACTTCTTATAAACAAACAAAAGAAAAGCAAGCAAAATAGTCCTTGGAGATCCCCCGGAGAAGAAACCGGAATGGTTGTGGTCCGATCATTGGCCGGAACCCTATAAATACGTCCAATGTTTCCACTCGAACCCCTTTTGATGGTGCACCAGCTCACGGGACTGCATAGCTCAAGGTATCAAACAAACAAACAAAAAGAACGGTAAGAATAAACTTAAACTAAACGTTAAAGAGTGTGCGCACTTAACTCCAAACGAAAGTTTAAATAAAGTTTATTAAACCAAAATAATCTTGTTGTGTATTCTTATGTATTCCAATGTGGACGATAGCAAAATTCACCCGCATTTGGCAGGTGGTCGGGTGTAAATTTCAGGCCCTGCTTGCATGTAAGTAATGCTAGTTTCCAGAGAGCTTGTTCTATTAGCTTGCTTGCCTTCTTTCTCATCTATGCTGTCCTCGGAGAGGAACGAAGAGGTTTTGGATATGTTGTCTGGTGTAGAGCTGATCGAGATGGACTGGAAACCTGAGGAATGATGGATCGGGATCCACACACACACTATAAAGCCTTAGCCTACAAATAAGTCAAGTATTTTTTATATATATATATATATATACACAATACGATTTTCTGTGTGTTGTGGGACTCCCTCATCACAGGGGCCCTGGTCTCGAATTGAATCTCAATCTCACCTGCTGAGTTGTTCTCCTCTAGGGAAACCTTCATGCTACCCTGAGCACATGGGCTCAGTGATTTCGTATTGACAGTTTGACCTATACTGTTCATAAGGGTGTTGGTCTATTATGTCTGGCGTAAAGCTGTGAAATATGAACACTCGCTTTCTCTCTCACCAATAATATAAACTAGATTGACATTCAGATCTCTAATCTCTGTAGATTTGCGTTTTTCACTCAGGTGATTTAGCCGGTGTTCGCTTTAAAATTATTAAACTATTAAAATTGTCGCTGTCGTGTGATAAGTCACTCCATGAAACGAAGAGCAGGGAGTATTTTTCAAAAGTTGAGCCGTTGAACTTGCTTAGCTTAGCCTACTTAAAAAATATATAAATTATGGTTGTGCTGTATGATAAAATGCCAAACTAGGATTAAGGCTCTGGCCACCAATAAACAAATACATGATCATTTTTGAAATAAAAAAGCGTATTATATTGTCTTTTACACGTTTTACACAGAAGAGCAATTTTTCATATGACGTCACATACCTTATTTCTAATGAAAAAACATATCCCTGAAACAATAGAGCATTGATTGATTGTTTAAAATATTATCAAGATAGGCAGAGGCTTATTGCTCAAGTAGAAGCCAATGAAATTATATTTGAATACAGTAATATTTTACAAAGAAATGCTGAAGATTTTTCATTTTTTGTTTTTAAAAAATACAGGGGTTTTGAAAATAATTAAATTTCATAGAAAATATGTATCTTCTGTTATACACTCCAGTCCAGCAGTGGGGGTAATACAACAAATTGTTGTCAATCGCCATTAAAAAAAGTTGAAGAAGAAGAAGATGACGTCACATGGGCGCTAGATCATCACATGACTGCTCTGACGCTTGACGGATGCGGAAGTGGAAACACTATCTAAAGTCTAAAATAAATAGGTAACGTTAAATAAATAGCTAAAAACACAACGCTAAAGGACTCTTTATTAAACGATATGAGTGACGAATATTATCTAGAGCTCAGTGAAAACCCCGTGCAGTTTGAGAACGCGTCGAGCGTCAACAATGTGTTTTTTGACGAGGCAAATAAACAGGTGAGAACACGTTTAATAATTTGAAGTGTAATAATTACATGAAGAGATATCAATGCTGTGTCGATAGGTAGCTTTCCTATGTTTTCCTTTGCAGTGTTCATCATATTCACTCCACGTAGATTTACTAATACATACTTGAATTAGCCTTTTTAGTTTATGAATATACTACTAATAATTAGATTAATGTTAACTCCTTTACTGTAATTGTATTATGTGCAATAACTTTGTCATCATGTACTGTAGTCATCCGTTTTATTGTTTTATAAGTTGATAATACCATAGTCCTTTTGCATATACTTTGCTATTCGTTATAATCCAAATGCTTCAAATAATATTATGGTAGATCCATGGAATACATTTACTAAAAACATTGGTATCAGGGTAAATGATCACATGTGTGATTTAGACTTGTCACATAAGTGTATGTTAGTTATCTGTCATGGTGAGTTATGCTTTATGATTATAATAGTGCATGCTTGATGTGATGTAGGTGTTTGCTGTACGGTCTGGTGGGGCCACGGGTGTTGTGGTTAAAGGACCAGATGACAAGAGCTCAGTGGCTTTCAGGTAAGTCAACTAGACTCTATATTCTCATTTGCATGATGTAAAGTGTTCGTGTGTCTGTGTGCGTGTTTTATTAACTATATACTGTAATAGTAGTTATTAATATTTGAAATAGCTGTTATTTTTATTTAGGTTAATTTTAATATTACTTTAATTTTATATT